GTCAAGGCTGAGACTGCAACGGTGAGATCTGCAGGACACAGAGATTGGAGTGGGGACGAGTGCAGGACAGGAGCAGAGTCGAGAGAAGGACGAGCTACCGGCAGGGTAAGCGCGGATCAAGAGTTTGTGCCAGGCGTCGGGGTTACGGTGGACTGACGATAAGGCTGAATCCTCGGATTTGACCTGTCGGGACATTTGTTTCTCAGGCTAGAGCCAGACCTACCCCAGGGAACACGACGAAACAGGTGATCCCAGGATCATTCTGGTCGGACCCGAAAGGAAGGTTGTGCAGACTTTTGAGTCCTACAAGCCGGGTGGAACTAGAGAGACGCCGTTGGAGAACGACGCCGCAGGAGTCCACACGTACCACGAAGGGAGACGAGAGCAGCGACGCCGTCGAAGAGCGCCGCCGAGAAACGCACGAAGTGAATCTCAAGCCGAGGAAGGCACGTTGCCGACCAGGCGAGCCGCAACAGCCAGCTGACCAAGAACCCAATTCCAGCGAAAAGAAAAACTTGAAAATGTTTTCCGATTTGTCCCAATCGGATATCTCTGCATTTTCTTGGGTCACGGGCAGTCACGCAATACAAATTTGGTGGGACGAACACACAATATCTCTGAGCTAGTCGCGGCATTTACGTAGCGATCCAACAGTTGAAAACAGTTCGTTACACCATGTGTGGTTTGGCAAATTATAACTATTTTTGTAAGCCGCGCAACAATGGTTATGGCGGCGTTGGAATTTATTAAAAAAAATTAAACGTTTTAGACAAATTAACTGTGATATTAGCTTAGAAGTCATTGGTATCCCTACAAAGAATTTAAGAAATAATATTAATATTTTCAGTGTCTATGCTGCACCCAGCACAGACATTAGTTCCTTTCAACAAGGTTGTGATTATCTTTTTACTATGGCTGCTCAATCGAGTGGTTTAGCTGTCATAGGTGGTCACGTTAATGCCAAATCCAGCATATGGGGTAATAATACTCAAGATGCCAGAGGAGGCATTTAAGAAAATTCCCTTTTACACTCAGGTTTTTTTTGTCTCCACAATGGTTCTCCAACATACTCCCATAATCCATCCTATATTTCCACACTTGATGTCACTTTCATTAATAATAGTAATCTTAGTTCTAACTGGTCTGCAATAAATTCAAAAATTTCAAATAGTAATCTTTTTCCAAATTTAATAGAAATAAACCAATTTTCAGCTTCAACTAACATTACAAAATTTAATCATCACAGAATAATCCAGGACTTTTCTAAAATTCAGATTACAACATTAGATAGTATTTTCAAAGCTTCAAAGCTTGAATAGTTAATTTACTCTAATAACTCAATTCAAATAAATACAAACAATAGATATGTTCCAAAAAAGTATTGGGACGAGGTCTGTGAAAAATTGTTTAGACTTAGAAATGCGTGAAGACAAAAGTATTATAAATCCAAGCTATACCCTGATGCTGTTGCCTATATTAATAGTAATAAAGAACTTGACAACTACTTATATGAAATGAGAAAGGAAAACCTTAATAAGCTTGCAGAAGATATTTCCAAGCCCTCTTCAATAAAAGATATGTGGAACAAAATCCATTCTCTTAAACTTTACAATCAAATCAAACCTTCCAATAGTGCAATTTCTGACTCAGAACATATAATCAGATTTTTATAATCAAATAGTCACTGCTCCCAACAATGCTGAGTGTTTTGACGTTTCTTTCTATGAAGTCCTGCTTTATCGCTATAACAACTCCAATTTGTCTGCTAGGGAACTCCTTGACTTTTTGAACTCTCGCAACCCAGATTCGGCTAAGGGCCTTGATAATATTTCTTATATAATGCTTTTAGCTCTACCCTTGGAACAAATAGAAAAACTGGTATCCCTGCTAAACAATACTTTAGACAATGGTGTTATTCCAGATAGGTGGCGGAAAATAAAGGTTATACCTGTTCCCAAAAAAAATCTTGATTCTTCTATTATTACGGACGGAGTACTTTGGTCTCCGAATGGAGGGTCCTAAAAGCACCATCTTTCTCGGACCATAGGTATATTTAGTTCAGATATGATTTTAAAAGCGCTCCAAAGGTAGCTGTCTATAGGAACCCCGGAACACGAACTGGGAACAGTTTACAAGGACAGTGACCTCGAAACTCGCGACCAGCCCAGGCATAGTAAAATCCGAGAGAGACATAGAAAGGTCCCTAGAGACCCTGTCCAAGGAATTACTGGATGCGTATAACCCATCCTGCCCAACTTCAAGAACAAGGAAGAAGACCAGGCCACCATGGTGGAATCGGGAACTTACACTCCAAAGACATAACCTTCGAGGATTCTTCAAAATCGCCAAAAAGGCAGACGATGAGATCATTAACGAGGAATACAAATTCCTACTGAGGCATTACAAAAAGAAAACACGCAGGGCCCAGAGAAGCTCGTGGAGAAACTTCTGCTCCAGCATCGAGAATGTCCCGGAAACAGCTAGACTCCGGAAGCTGCTTTCAAAGTAACCTACCATACAGAGTCAGCTAAAACGCGACGACGGACAGTGGATTGAGGGCAGTGAAGAAGCCCTAACAGCACTTATGCAATCGCATTTTCCAGGATGCACGGATGTCTTAGACGCCGGCACGCTGTGAGGAGTTAAATAACTCCGCACAAATAAACACAAGAAATACATGGAGAACTACATGGAGACCGGCCGCACTTTGGACTTTAGTGTAGTGCCGTGTGCAGAGGGCGAAAGGTCGAACGATAAAACCGTGCACTTTGGACCCTGAAGTGGAGAGTTGGAGAGAGAGTTGGGAGAGTACCAACCCAGAGAGAGAGAGAGCAAAGAGAGGCGTCAGAGCGAGACGGCACTAGCCTGAGGGAGAGACGAGAGAGCGCAGGCGTGCCGTGAGCAAGGAATTAACGGTACAGCACCGCACTTTGGACCCTAGAGTGGTGCCGTGCGCAGAGGGCGAAAGGTCGAACGGTAAAACCGTGCACTTTGGACCCTGGATTGGAGAGATGAAAAGGAGAGGCCGAGGATTAACGGGACCCGGAGGCCTATATAAGCGGGCTCTGCGCTGGAGTCGGGACCAGTCATCGAGCATCAAATCGCGAGTGAACAACGTCTAGTAAAGTCAAAGTCAAGGAGAAACAGCCGTGAAAAACCAGCAAGGAGCAAGATCGCTACGTCAATCGGCTGTGATATCGGCTGTGATACCGATTAGTCCGGCTAAGTTGGCTGTAATACCGACTGGTCCGACTACATTGGCTGTGATACCGATTGGTTTGACTACATTGGCTGTGATACCGATTAGTCCGGCTACATTGGCTGTGATACCGGTCCGCTTGGCTGCATTGGCTGTAAATACCGATCAGGCTAGCTGTGCCGGCTGTGATACCGACTAGTCCGGCTACATTGGCTGTAATACCGATGAGTCCAGCTGCGTCGGCCGTAGTACCGATCAGTTGAGCGGAACGTGGGCAGACTTGGCACGGGCATCCCCACCAGCAGAGTGTGGGCACGAGTAGTGGACTTCAAGGGAGCAACGCAGGACAACGCAGCAACGAGTCGCCCAGGACATCGACGAGGACCAGCATCCAGGGACCGTGCCGAAAACCAAGCATCAGGTACGATGGCAACAGCCAGGAGGGAAGGTTAGGGTGGAACGTTCGTCTTTCTCTGGGCGTTTGCTACAGGGACTGCTGGCGTAAACCGGCCGTAGTACCGGAGCGTCAAAGGAAACTGAGTAGGCGTCTGGCGGGAACGGCCGGGACAGAGCAAGGGACAGGAGACTGCGGCTGGCAGGACGAAGGTCTTGCAAGCGTGGTGCCTGTTCACCCTAGTCTGAGAACGGTGACGCTTCCCTAAGCCCAACGACCCAACTCCACGCCCTCGTCGACGAGTGGCAGCGAAAGTACCCGGAGCATCCAGGAGCACCTGCAGCGAGGAACCACCGAGCGGAGTCGCAGGAGCATCGTCAGCACGAGTCACAACAATTATTGTAAACCAGAGCCGTAAATAAACGTCTCCTTGAACTGAATTCTGAAATGTAAAATCTGCTGACCTAGCCGCACAATCTTCGTAGCGAGCAAACCGTAGAAATCAGTTCGTTACAACGCATCAAGACATAGCAACTGGCGAAGAACGCCCCCCAAACGATCTAATAACAACCTCGAAAATCAACTGGGCCATAGACTTCTTTGCGGTCTACAAGGCACCAGGACTAGAGGGAATATTTCAAGCCATGTTATAGGCGACCAAGGAAAGGATCACCCCATGGCTATATGAAATATATTCTGCATGTCTAAGCACGGGCTGTATCCCAATCCAATGGAGGACCTCTCGGATTGTCTTCCTCCCAAAAGCGGGAAAGTGCAGTCACGCGAGCCCCAAGGATTACAGGCCGGTAAGCCTCACCTCTTTCATACTCAAGACACTGGAAAAGCTGCTGCATCCACTCATCAGGAATGATGTAGGGAGGCTCATGTCATCCAACCAGCACGCCCACACCAAAGGGAAATCTGTGGAAACGGCACTACCCTCGCTAGTAGCAACCGTTGAGAGAGCCCTACACATTAAGGAATATGCGCTTGGAGTATTCGTAGATATATCCGGAGCATTCAACAATGTCAAGACGGATGCTATAATGGATCGCCTAGAAGCAACCAACACGCACCACGCAATAAGCCTCTGGGTAAGAAACATTCTTAGCTGCAGGGGGTACATTCAGAGTGGGGCACCGTTTCCATGGTAAAGGGGGCACACAGAGGCACACCACAAGGTGGGGTCCTCTCGCCTCTCCTATGAATTTTGGTTGTCGACGATCTAATCAAGAGATTCAAGATTCGATTCGGCATAATTATTACGGGAGTTTGTCCATCGACCCCCAGCTCTATAATGGAATCAACATTCAGGGGGATATGTGAGTGGGCGGAAAAGGTGGGACTCAGTATCAATGCGGACAAAACGGACCTCATTCTCTTTACAAAGAGATACAAGATGCCAAAATGGGCCCCCCAGAAAATCGGCGTAACCAGGCTGACCCCAAAAATACATGTCAAGTACCTAGGCACAGTACTGGACTGCAAGCTGGCATGGAGACCCAATGTAGTGGAAAGGGTGAAAAGGCCACTATTGCGCTATATACATCCAAGAATATGCTTAGCAGCACATGGGGCCTGTCACCTGCTCTGATGCACTGGATCTACATCTCGGTGGTGCGTCCGACTCTGCTGTATGGAGCTTTAGTGTGGTGGCAAGCCACTGAAAAGACGACGTACACCGAGCTTATGGAGAGAATTCAGCGGCAGGCATTGGTCTGCATAATGGGGGCGCTGAAGTCAACCCCAACTAAAGCTCTAGAAACGATCCTCGGAGTCGACCCCATAGACATCCACGCACAACTGACTGCAGGAAAGGCAGCACAACGTCTATTTGCTTCAGGTAACATGACGGCGCAAAGCTTCGTGCATAGTTCAATCGGCAGAAGCATGATCAACAAAACGGACCATATGACCCCCAGAACGTGCCCGGAGCTTAAAACAATCTCGGTTATGGGCCCAGATGACTGGAAAACGGGTCGGGACCAGACTCAACACCTCAATATATACACGGACGGCTCCAAGATGGAAGGAGGAGTAGGAGCGGGCTTATACTGTACGGACCCTAAAATAAGGCTGTCCTTTAAGCTACCCAATGACTGCAGCATATTCCAGGCGGAAGTCTTCGCCATAAGGAAAGCTGCTGAAGTGGCTCAAAAATTTAAACCGACCACACGATGTGGACAACTTGTTCGTGGACAGCCAAGCGGCGATAAGATCCATGCAGTCGTCAACAGTCAGTTCCAAAAATGTGATGGCGAGCAGAGCGGCATTAGACAACCTTACCACGACAAAATCAGTGCGGATCTATTGGGTTTCCAGTCACCAGGGCATCGATGGCAACGAGACAGCTGACATTCTTGCGAAGGAGGGCGTTGAGCTAGCAGACGACAGAACGGAGAACGTGCCCGTTTCCATCCGAACGCTCCAAAGCGCCCTGGAGAAACAGGCGGACACGCGAGCAAAAAGCAGGTGGAGGAATACCAGGACCTGCCGAATCTCAAGAACTATGTGCAAAAAGCGCAACGACAAACACAGCCAGTATGAATTGCGTCTACCACGGAAAGACTGCAGACTGTTAGTGGGAATCCTTACAGGCCGCGCAACCACGCAACCACACTCGGAATACTCAACAGCCGCGCCTGCAGGAAATGTGATGAATCGGGGGCTATCGAAACCCTGGAACATCTTATCTGCAACTGCACGGCTCTCTCAAGAGCGAGAAGAAGATACCTCGGTGCCCCAGTACTGGCATCACTAGGAGACGCCTCCAGCAGGGAACCAGGACAACTACTTGCCTTCCCCAAAAACACCTCGATCCTTATGGACATAACAACCTCTTAACTTATCTCATCATCAATATACGCATCAACCGGACAACTAAGGGCCATACGGGTTAACCTAACCTATTATTACTAACAACAGACCTATCTGCCTCCTAAATGTGATTTTTAAGTGTTTAAAAGGTTTGATAAAATTGCGTATGGAAGAGCACATAAATAAAAATGAAATTTTGCCACCTAGATCATATGCGTTCAGGAAAAACCATTCTACTGCCCAATGCATTAACGACGTGATAATTATTATATAATATACATAATTTAAAAGCTCGTGGTTTCCATGTAACCGCAGATGTATTAGACCTAAGTAAAGCCTTTGACGCTGTCAATACTCCAATTTTATTGTCAATATTCCAATTTTATTATTTTTCACACGAAAGATTTCTGTTGATACAAAATGTTTTAAAGGCTCTTGTAATAATAAAAAAAATGGCAAACGAAGCCATTATTCTTTCTCTATTTAGAGGAAATCATCTTCACGGATGGTTCCGTGTCGGAAGATTTGTGAGGAGTCGTAAAACTCCCCACAAATCTCGAGGCAGGAGAGCCCCTAGCAACAGCGAGAATGCGGCAGAATCCGAGGGCATCCAGGTCCACCGGTAAATACTGGACCTTGGACCCGGCTAAAGCGGAGAGACCGTGAAATAACGGTGCCGCGCTGGACCTTGGACCCACGCCGCCAAAGGGCAATAAGGTCAAACGGTGAATCCGTGGACTTCGGACCAGCACAAGGAGGATGCACCGTGAACTAACGGGACATCTTGGACCTTGGACCCGATGCGTGCCGTGTGCAAAGGGAACTAACGGGACACACTTGGACATTGGACCCTAGCGAGCCGTGTGCAAAAAGGGAAATAACGGGACCCTGCCGCTGCCGATAAAAGGGATGGCGCAGGCGCAGCTCGAGGCAGTCAGTTGGAGTTCGCGCGACAGTCAGTGCAGTAAGCGCCGCAGTTCATGCAGCCAGGAGGCAGGAGACGTGTCGGTCGGAAGACGCGACGCTGGCAGCCGGAGTACGACAGACAACCAAGATACGCGAGCGAAAGTACAAGTGAGACAACCCAATATCAAGATTCAAGTGCGAGGATTCAATCGAGTGCGTGACCGTGAGAGTACCGAGTAACCGAGTGCTCAACGCCCAGATCAAGATACCAGAGTCAAGACGCTAGGCCAAGGCTGAGACTGCAACGGTGAGATCTGCAGGACGCAGAGATTGAAGTGGAGACGAGTGCTGGACAGGAGCAGAGTCGAGAGAAGGACGAGCTAGAGAAGGACGAGCTACCGGCAGGGTAAGCGCGGATCAAGAGTTTGTGCCAGGCGTCGGGGTTACGGTGGACTGACGATAAGGCTGAATCCTAGGATTTGACCTGTCGGGCCATTTGTTGCTCAGGCTAGAGCCAGACCGACCTCAGGGAATACGACGACACAGGTGGTCCCAGGATCATTCTGGTCGGACCCGAAAGGAAGGTTGTGCAGACTTTTGAGTCCTACAAGCCGGGTGGAACTGGAGAGCCGCCGTTGGAGAACGACGCCGCAGGAGTCCACCAGTAGCACGAAGAGATACGAGAGCAGCGACGCCGTCGAGGAGCGCCGCAGAGAAACGCACGAAGTGAATCTTAAGCCGAGGAAGGCACGTCGCCGACCCGGCAAGCTGCAACAGCCAGCTGACGAAGAAACCAATTCCAGCGAAAAGAAAAAGTTAATAAAGTTTTCCGATTTGTCCCGGAATACAATACAAATTTGGTGGGACGAACACACAATATCTCTGAGCTAGTCGCGGCGTTTACGTAGCGATCAAACAGTTAAAAACAGTTCGTTACATCTGGCGCCCAAGCGTGATTGTCCGGACCAAGAGTGCAAGAAGGAGTGCAAGGCGATGCAGAGCGGCAGACCCGAGGACAGAACTTGTTCGAAGGAAGGGGGAAGACGATACTTGGCGTATCGTAACACCCGGAGCAGGCGTAGACAGAAGTTCCGCCGCTGGAGCGCGATCACAGGAGGGCACAGCCCGCATCCACAGGCGCCACCGATACCAGGTACACGTCGCCGGCAAGGATGGAGGCGATACACGCCGCCGTCCAGAGATCAACCACGGCAACAGCGACTAACAGCAGCGGGACAGTGGCACAGATTACCACCACAGCAACAGGTACGGTGCGAGCCGTGGACTGCTGCACCACTTGCAGTAGCTATAGGCTCAAGTGCGTGGTTGAGTGGTTCATCACGAGGCATCATGGAGCTGGAATAGCAAGTAAATGCTGGCTATATGAGGGAAAACAAAATCAATTGGCTAAATTCACTCACCTGCAATGTAAACATTGAACAGCTGATCAAGAGTCACACGCGAATGGTACGAATATGGCAACGCTGGGATCTCGATAACGGACTTCGATAACTGGAACTGACGACATGGAAGTGGCAACGCTGCTCACCACGATCGATTAACGCGATTGTGAGTTGGAGCGGAGTTGCCAGATGGAGGAAACGGAAGCGGTGTATTTCCACGGGAGATGGCGCGGAAATTCAAAATTCCGAACGCAGGCGAGGATCAGCGACCAAGGAGAGAAAATCGTCAAGGAGCAGGAGGAGAAACAAGGAAACGAGGAACAAGGAGCAGAATCAAGGACGGCGCCGGGAGGGTCTATACGCGGGGGTCGAGATGCCTATAGGACACGGCTGAGACTGGCATCGCTGCGATCCGACCGGTGGCCAACGGCAGGAGAAAGGCATCAGCGAGGGTTAGACGCGGTCGTCGAGATGCCTACAGGAAAAGGCTGAGATTGCACCGCTGCGTCCGGACTGATGGCCAACACAAGGAGTAGGGAACCAGGAGCAGGGAACCAGGAGCAACGGAGGACGAGGACAACAACGAGGAAGCTGAGATACGTCGACGGAGTGCGCCGGGAGGAGAAAGCACCTTCTTCAACACATTTCCGAAGAAAGGGGGAGATGTGAGGAGTCGTAAAACTCCCCACAAATCTCGAGGCAGGAGAGCCCCTAGCAACAGCGAGAATGCGGCAGAATCCGAGGGCATCCAGGTCCACCGGTAAATACTGGACCTTGGACCCGGCTAAAGCGGAGAGACCGTGAAATAACGGTGCCGCGCTGGACCTTGGACCCACGCCGCCAAAGGGCAATAAGGTCAAACGGTGAATCCGTGGACTTCGGACCAGCACAAGGAGGATGCACCGTGAACTAACGGGACATCTTGGACCTTGGACCCGATGCGTGCCGTGTGCAAAGGGAACTAACGGGACACACTTGGACATTGGACCCTAGCGAGCCGTGTGCAAAAAGGGAAATAACGGGACCCTGCCGCTGCCGATAAAAGGGATGGCGCAGGCGCAGCTCGGGGCAGTCAGTTGGAGTTCGCGCGACAGTCAGTGCAGTAAGCGCCGCAGTTCATGCAGCCAGGAGGCACGAGACGTGTCGGTCGGAAGACGCGACGCTGGCAGCCGGAGTACAGACAGACAACCAAGATACGCGAGCGAAAGTACAAGTGAGACAACCCAATATCAAGATTCAAGTGCGAGGATTCAATCGAGTGCGTGACCGTGAGAGTGCCGAGTAACCGAGTGCTCAACGCCCAGATCAAGATACCAGAGTCAAGACGCTAGGCCAAGGCTGAGACTGCAACGGTGAGATCTGCAGGACGCAGAGATTGAAGTGGAGACGAGTGCTGGACAGGAGCAGAGTCGAGAGAAGGACGAGCTAGAGAAGGACGAGCTACCGGCAGGGTAAGCGCGGATCAAGAGTTTGTGCCAGGCGTCGGGGTTACGGTGGACTGACGATAAGGCTGAATCCTAGGATTTGACCTGTCGGGCCATTTGTTGCTCAGGCTAGAGCCAGACCGACCTCAGGGAATACGACGACACAGGTGGTCCCAGGATCATTCTGGTCGGACCCGAAAGGAAGGTTGTGCAGACTTTTGAGTCCTACAAGCCGGGTGGAACTGGAGAGCCGCCGTTGGAGAACGACGCCGCAGGAGTCCACCAGTAGCACGAAGAGATACGAGAGCAGCGACGCCGTCGAGGAGCGCCGCAGAGAATCGTACGAAGGGAATCTTGAGCCGAGGAAGGCACGTCGCCGACCCGACAAGCCGCTACAGCCAGCTGACGAAGAAACCAATTCCAGCGAAAAGAAAAACTAAATAAAGTTTTCCGATTTGTCCCAATCGGATATCTCTGCATTTTCTTGGGTCACGGGCAGTCACGCAATACAAATTTGGTGGGACGAACACACAATATCTCTGAGCTAGTCGCGGCGTTTACGTAGCGATCAAACAGTTAAAAACAGTTCGTTACAGATTTTACAGGAAGTGCTTTCGCACACATGAATTCAAACTCTATAAAAAGTTTTTACACTGACAAAAAACTGTCGTCGCTGACTGGCATAGCTAGCAAATTTAACAGATAGTCTTGGTGCCATCCAGACATTAAAAAACTCGTACTCAAAAAACTGCATTTCTCAATGCATTCTAAAAAAAACCATAAACAGTACAAACTTGATATCTATAGAATTCCCCCATATTCCAAGTCATTCCAATATTTGGGAGAACGACCTCGCGGATATAGCTGCTAAAAATGCTCGGTTTAGCGGCACATTCGTATCCGTAAGATGGACCCTAAAAGATTGAGAACGTAAATAAAACCAACTGGCAGGGTCTGTAGCCCGCAGCTTCGCCTGCGGAAATTAAAACTGAAAATTAAGCATTGCTTTATATAGTATAACTATTTGTATACCCTTAATTGTAACCTACATGTATAAGCTTAGCATAAGAATAAAGATAAGAAAGAAAGACATTACAATAAAAGCTCTGATCTGGCAGTCGTGTATAGACCGCACAAGCAACAGCTCGCTTTAAACAAATATCTCTTTGAAACGATTTAAATGAGATTTCATTATTGGAACTTAATCTTTG